AGTGAGACTAAATGAAGGAATAAATTTGGGATGGACCTCGAGACTAGTAACTTTTGAATAAAAGCATCTGCAAAATTGTATGATTCCTTAGGAAACCTGAGATTGTCTGTTGGCCCATTTGATTTATAAGGTTTAGGACATTCATAAGAAATGAATATTTAGAGAATTGATCATCTTGTTGTATAGTCACAATGGAATAAATTTTTGATCTTTTTCCCCCCTCAGGAAAATCTTTTTCAGATAGCTTTGTTTTTAGGTTGTTTTCTCCTAATCCCAGCCTCACCCCCAATATCCAGATAATCAGAAAAGCTTAGATGATACAGAAGACTTAAATATTTCTCTAAGACAGAGATTATTAAGGACCTAAGTGCTCTTGACTGCTCCCCTAAATGTTGGCAGTTCAAACACACTCAGGAGTGCTCTGAAGAAAAGTCTGGTCCCCAGCTTCCATGAAGAATGCAGCCCAGAGAAGCCCTGTCTGTTCTGTCACACAGGGTTCACCGTGGTTCAGAGTCCACTTGACAGCAATGGGATCGATTGGTTGGTAGACACAAGAAAGACAGATATCTTAGAAAATAATCATAGGGTGTATTTCCAGAGTCAAATATCATTTGCTTTGACTTGTTCACAAACTGTTCCTTGTCTTTAATGCAGATCATCACAGTCAGTGTTCCATGAAAATAAATGACTTACCTTGTGGTTACCTTTGACTTGCTAAGGTCCTAAATGAATGAAATACCTCTTATGCACACACACATTATGACAACACACGCTTGATTCTCAATGTACTCTGTTTTCTTTTTAGCTAAATTAAAAGTACGGCATTGACAGATTACTGCTTGCATAAAATTTTCTGTGGGAAAACATTGTTAATAGCTTTCCATCTGGGCTGCTAACCATAAAGTTAAAATGGTTTTATAACTTTAAGCCAGTCAATTTATGGCATAAAGATGAAGTTTTCTACTGCTGTAAAGAGTTACAGGAAGGGGGGAGCCAATAAACTCAATGATAAGGGAACAACAAGTGATCTAACATCAATGGTAAGGATGACACGGAATGCCCGATGGGGCTTGATCAAGTACAATGTAGCCGAGAAGAATTACTGAAAGTCAAATGAAGGCGAAACATGATAGTAGGACAAGAGGAAAGTAAAAGGAAATAGAGGGAAGAACTAGGATGTTTAAATACAGGCAGGTACATATGTAAATATATTTGTATATAATGATAGGGAAATAGATCTATGTACATATATTTATATGTTAAGTATTAGGTAGCAGGAGGACTTTGGACCTCTACTCAAGTTCTCCCTTAGTGTAAGAACACTTTGTGCTGATAACCCTGCATTTTGTGATGTTCACCTTCCTGACACAATCACTGAAGACAAAATGGGTGCATAAGCAAATGTGGCGAAGAAAGCTAATGGTGCTTGGCTATCAAAAGATATAGTGTCTGGGGTCTTAAAGGATTGAAGATAAACAAGCGGCCATCTAGCTGAGAAGCAACAAAGACCACATCGAAGAAACACACCAGCCTGTGTGATCATGAGGTGTGAATGGGGTCAGGTATCAGGGCATCAAAGACCCGGAACAAAAAAATGTTATTGATATGAATGAGGGGGAGAGTGGAATGGAGACCCAAAGCCTATCTGTAGACAATTGGACATCCCCTTACAGAAGGGACACAAAGAAGAGATAAGCCAGTCAGAGTACAGTAATGCACCGATGAAACATACAACTTTCCTCTAGTTCTTTTATGCTTCCTCCTCCCATTATCATGACCCCAGTTCTTTATTTTCTTTAATCATTTTATTAGGGGCTCATACAACTCTTATCACAATCCATACATACATCAAGTGTAACACACATTTGTATATTCATTGCCCTCATCATTCTCAAAGCATTTGCTCTCCACTTAACCCTATAATGTCAAGTGTGATGTTTCATAACATTTAATTAAATGTATATATTAATATATATATTGATAACAAAGTAAAAAATAAAAACAAAAAAATTTTTTCTCTGAAATTAAAATTTCAGGCATTATAGGGTTAAGCCTCTGACATCAGCTCCTCATTTTATCTCCTCCCTCCCTGCTCCCTCCTCCCTCATGAACACTTGATAATTTATAAATTATTATTTTGCATGACCCCCGTTCTACCTTACAAATCTGGCTAGACCAGAGGATGTACACAGGTACAGATAAGATCTCGCAACACAGGTAATTTAGGATGAGAACCCCTCAAGACCAATGATGAAAGTAGCAATACTATGAGTATAGGGAGAAGGTGGAGGGAGAAAGGGGGAACTGATCACAATGATCGATAAATAACCCCCTCCCAGGGGGACGAACATCAGAAAAGTGGGTGATGGGAGACAGTGGTTGGTGTAAGACATGAAAAAAATAATTTATAAATTATCAAGGGTTCTTGAAGGTGGGAGGGTGGGGGAGGGGGACAAAATTATCTCTAAGGGTTCAACTAGAAAGAAAATGTTTTGAAAATGATGATGGCAACAAATGTAAGAATGTACTTGACAAGTACTCCCTCAACACAAGAATACTTCCTTCTAGTAAATTGGCATTCTATGATGCTCACCTTCCCGACACAAC